ATGCACCAGTATTGCCATTTTAAGGGAAAATTAAATTTACCGAGTCACTTTCTCCTTAGTACCTTCCATCATCATCTCTCTTCTCCATCACTAGCATTGAAGAAAAACAAGGCTATTAATCTGACCAAAAAATAATGTTATTAATAATATCATTAATTTTAATCGAGCCATGCCAATTGGGAAATACAATGGACTTTTTTCAACAGTCGACTAAAATTGTTGCTTCACGTGATAAGCACATTTTAATAAGAAGAATTTAATATTTCATGCATTATTTCGGTGGGGGAAAAGACAAATTTATAGATGCTGAGAAGTACGTGCCATTCAATCTGGAAGGAAGCAAAAGCAGGGCCTTTTTTAAGGCATAATTTTCAAAAAAACCCCAAACTTTACGCTTTGTCCCAATTATACCATGAACTTTTTATTGTCTCAAGAAAAACCTTAAACTTTTATCCGAGTCCCAAATCTACCCTACCGTTATAACTCCGTCCAATTAACATAAAAAAAAAAAAAAAAAAACAGAACCAGCAGCTGCGGCGTGGCCAAGCCTTCGCCGGTGGCCGCCGGGAAGGAGCGGCGGCCCTCGCCTGGGCCTTCCATAAGGCCGGCGACCCTCGCCGGCCCCGGGCGAGTCGCCGGCGAGGCTGCGGCCCGATCCGGGGAGGGCGCGACCCTCCCCCGGATCGGGGCCGCAGGCCCTCGCCGGCGAGGGTCCTCGGCCTTCGGGAAGGCCTAGGCGGCCGCCGACCCAAGGCGAGGCCTCGCCCGGGGTGGGCGACCCGGGCGAGGCCTCGTGCGGGTCGGCGGCCTCGCCTAGGCCTTCCCGAAGGCCGAGGGTCGTCGGCCTTCGGGAAGGCCCGAGGCGAGGGCCGCCGCTCCTTCCCGGCGGCTGTGGCGGCTGTGGCGGCAGCCACCAGCGAAGGCTTGGCCACGCCGTAGCTGCTAGTTTTTTTTTTTTTTTTCTGACGTTAATTGAATAAAGTTATAACGATAGGGCAGATTTGGGACTCGGATAAAAATTTGAGGTTTTTCTTGAGATAAAAAAAAGTTAAGGGTATAATTAGGACGCGTAAAGTTTGGATTTTTTTTGGAATTAGCCCATTTTTTTTATTGAAGAAGTCAACCAAAACAGGGAGAGGAGAGGAGAGGAGAGAGGAGTGCGTTTAAAGAAGAAAAGGCCGGCACAAAGGGATGTTCGTTGCCTCCCACTCTCTCTCTCTCTCTCTTTCTCTCTGCCATGTCTGAAGCAAAGACTCGTCCAGCTCTCTACTTCCATCTTCAACGAATGATTCGCAGTCTTTTCCATACATAAGCTTCGTACTCGAATTTTGCGCCTGTTTCCCTTGTCTTCTTCCTCTGTTTTGCGCGCTTCAGTTTTGGACGACTTGACTTCTCATTAGGGTTTTTCCATTCATCCACCGCCTCCTCTTTGTAACCCATCGCTAAATATGTCTAATTTGTACGCCAACTTCAATCAGAACATAGACTACGTCTTCAAGATCGTCTTGATCGGCGACTCCGCCGTCGGAAAATCCCAGCTTTTAGCTCGGTTCGCCCGGAACGAGTTCAGTTTGGATTCCAAAGCGACTATAGGAGTTGAGTTCCAGACCAAGACGCTCTCGATCGATCACAAGACCATCAAAGCTCAGATTTGGGATACTGCCGGTCAAGAGAGGTATGTTGAGCTGGCCTAAGCAAACTAATCAGTCTGCAAACATAATCTAGAGCTCTCAAGCTATAAAATCATTATTTTTTTCCCCAGCAATTGTCGAATTCGCCTGACGCATCTGGCTTTTGCAATAATGAAGTGTTGTGTGTTTAAGTAGAATGTACCTACCAAATTCTTGACTGGACTGGAAGGATGGAACTGTGATCTGGTGATCGTCGTAGCCGATGCTCAATATGCATGACAACAAACTGGTCCTAGTAAGTTGGTCTGATCTTATTTGAGTGGGGAAGATTCAAGGCGAGTTTGTTCTGAAAATGTTTTTCTGTCATTGAATCAAGCAGCTGAGGGTTCTTGTAGGATCAAGTTCCTGCAATGTCATGACACAACATGGAGTCAAGTGTTCAATGAAGCAAGATTGAGTGACCTTATCATCTTTCCCACAGAGGAAAATAGAACCCCCACTAGCAGTTCAGGTGGATCTAGTTCCAAAATAAATCTGGTATTTTCTTGAACTGACAGATTTAGATGAGATTTCTCGCCTAAAGATGCTGGTGGAAACCAACCAAGACACTTGTAGGCTGCTACGTGGATACTTATTGAGTGTATATTTGGAGGTTGACAATTTAATTGTCCTAACTTTCGTAAGTTATAGAGTGGTAATCACAGTTGAGTAACTGATCTTCGCATATGACTGTCAAAAGAGGACGATGTTTGTTTAAGCATCGATGTACTGTTTTCATTTTCCCTGCCAAATTTCTGCTCTTTATTTCCATATTCACATGTCTGCCCACTCCTTTAGGTACCGGGCCGTCACCAGTGCGTATTATAGAGGTGCGGTCGGAGCAATGTTGGTTTATGACATCACCAAACGTCAATCTTTTGATCATGTAGCCAGATGGTTAGAGGAATTGCGAGGACATGCAGACAAAAATATTGTTATTATGCTTGTTGGCAACAAATCTGACCTGGGGACTCTTCGAGCTGTACCCACTGAGGATGCCAAAGAGTTCGCGCAAAGGGAAAACCTTTTCTTCATGGAGACATCTGCCCTTGAGGCCACAAATGTTGAAACTGCATTCCTCACAGTCTTGACAGAGATCTATCGAATTATCAGCAAGAAGGCTCTGGTTGCAAACGAAGAGTCCGAGTCTGGAGGGAGCTCACTTTTGCAGGGTACGAAGATAGTTGTTCCTGGACAGGAGCCAGAACCTCAAGGAAAGACTTACAGTTGTTGCTCGTCTTCATAAGAGCATGTGCTCTCGACCTCATGCCCCTGAAGATTGGTGGTGTTTTGTCACATAGATCCTTTATACCTGTATAACGAATATAAATTTCTGCATAAATTTGAGAATTGATATCATTCTTGCAAGTGTTAGCAAGCAGAAAGAATTTTCTTGCCTTTTTCCTGTTATGTGGTACTCTTGATGGTTGTTGGGACGTACGTGTTTTGAAGAGGTTAGTTCTTAGCTAAGATATTGAGAACAAAAGGTTTGCGTGGTAGTTTGTGGCCAATAGCAGAGTGATCCCTGCCATTACACCCATCTGCATTATGTGTTGGATTGTGGCTTTCAACAGACTCCAATTAACAATTCTCTATCTAGGGTATTGAGGAGGTATGTGAGCGTTTGGTTCCTGCATCCATTTCTTGTTCCAGCACATGCATCTGTTTCAATTGAAGGACAAAGTAAAAACTATAGGCCTCTTTTCTGTGCCACAAATTGATGTTTGAAGCAACTAGCAAGTAATCCTTTTGCCTTAGATCCAGGCTCTGAGATGTGGCAGTTTTTTTTTTTTTTGGTCAAATGAGCAACTGAAGCCATGAAGGAGAAACAGAAACTGTACCTTATGTATGATAACAGGATGAATGATTCATTTCTGCAAATTTTAATTTCGTATTGGGATTTTTTTTTTTGTTTTCCTGTGAAAGATTTGATGGAATGGATCGTTTTCTGAAAAAAGCTACCACCTATTGCTGGAGTTGGTCATGGTTCTTTTGGGTCTTCAGATGATATCTTGCGAGCAGATTTATACCACCTGAGAAATGGGTGTAATGATGATCAGAGTACTTAGGAAACACCTGGTTGCTGGGGGAGCCGTTCCTCCTTGTCCCCCAGCGAATAGGTCGATGTTTTCCAGGTGAAGAAATGGACCGCTAATCCTATAATACCGTGAGAGTTCGTTCGTTGGGAGTAAACCATGCAAGGCAATTGCTTTAGGGGAAGTAATAAGTATATTTATTGGATGTGTATGTATGTAGATCAAATAAGGTAATACTTGGCCTAGAAAGGCAGAGATTAGAATGTTTGAGGAATTGGATGGTGGATTGATCGATAATCGATGAGACAATGAAGATGTTTTGAGCTTGTCGAGATGATGAGTTCCAGCTGGTGGCAAGCGTACGGAATAGGAGGAGGTCTTGAAATATGTTGGTGGACTTTGACCTGGATGATTACATACGATTAATTAATGTGCATTTGTTTTCTTCCTTCGTGTCTCACTGACTGTCATCAGTGGGGCTTTCCTTAACATAGATTGATGATATAAGAATAAGATCCTTCAGGAAATAGCTGGCCACTTTTACATATTGAACTTTCTTTCTCAAGCAATCAGTTGGTGCTTTTACACTCGATGTCCATTTAGCTTCGAATTGGATGACATTCAAATTCAAAATGAGAGATCTCAAATGACAGTGACACCTAACTGTAGCGGGAGTTCTCCAAGCATATAGCCGCACAGCCGCAGCCAGGCGGAGACAAGTATTCTTACCTTCGGTATATCCGTCATGACTGGCTTCATGCATTGCATATTCAATCATTAATCTGGAAGGATAAATGCATTTCCAAATTGAAAAGAGTGGGAAAAAAGAGCAAAGAGACCGTTTATGCTGTGCATTCTGAATGATTGACCTGTCATGACTGGCTTCGTGGATTGCATATTCAATCATTAATCTGGAAGGATATATGCATTTCCGAATTGAAAAGAGTGGGAAAAAAGGCAAAGAGACCGTTTATGCTGTGCAATCTGAATGATAAACCTTTCGTAACGTCTTCCTCAAACTTTTTAAGTTTGGCTTAGGCTGAAAAGCCATGAACCATTCTGATTTTCTTTCCATGATCTTTGGCTGTTTCACAAGTTCTCTAAGACTAAGACGTTTACTCCATGGCATATTGCAACCATTTGAATCTAAGAAGGCATTGCTTGCCCAGCCCGACCAGCCAACATGAACTCATGCTAACAGCTTTTACAGGAAAGGGAATCAAGTGATCTGATGCCGTTGAAACAAATTGGAGTTCACGGTCCACCCTAAAGCATCTCAATGTGCACAGGCATAAATCATCATAACTCAGTGGTACACTCGAGGAATTTTAGTCATTCAATGAACTTACATGTTCCCACTAGCTAGCGTATCAAATACAATAATCGGTTTATATATTTACAGTAACCTTACCTTTGATGCAAAGGGAAATTCCGCCTCAACTATTAATGTTGATTATTTTGAGCAAATTACATTTGTTAATAATGTAATCAAAAGCAGAACCACTTCATGCTACAAAATTGCAGAGACCAATAACTCCTTTTCAATCTCCATTCTGAAGGCAGTCTCAAAGTGACAAGGAAGAGAGTAGACATTTCTCCTAGCCAGATGCACCTGCTGCTGTACGTTTGTCATATTCACCTTGCTCTTCCTTTGCGAACTCTTCAATCAACTCCCTTTTTCTCTGGGTTAAATTCCTGCAACAATTTGCATAATGCATGTTAACTTACTCCTATCTCCCCCTATCCAAAACTTCCAGAAGTACTACTAGATGACTCATCAAATCACGAGCAAAACACAGCGAACATACGTTGGAATGCTGACGTTGAAATGCACATACTGGTCGCCAAATGAGAAAGAGCCCCGAGTTTTAATCCCTGTCAAAATTGCACAAAGATTAGACTATCATGGGCAAGTGCAGTAAAGTTCTACAAGGAGAAATGAGCAAATTTACTGTTTGCACGTAGTACCCCGGGCTGACACATGGAGCTTTCTACTTTGGTATACTAGAATAACTATCTGCTTATTTGAAAGTGTAGCAGAAAGCAGAAATGATGTGAAAAGAATTTACAGATATCGCGAAGAAAGATACTTCATTGGCACTACATGTAAATTCAACATAGGAGAATATTACAGTTTCCGCATATTTTCTCTCAAATAAAAACTAGATTGTAAAGCTCCAACAAAAGTAGCAATTATAAAACCATACATATAAAAGCAAAAACATTACTAGAAAAATACTTGTTTGTTCGAAATCAAGAAAATTTCTACCTTTTTTCTTCAAAACAACCTTCTGACCAGGCTGGGTACCAGGACGGACCTGCAAGTCAAATTCAAACACTGGTTCAGCCATGATAATGGAACAGGACAACAATCAAGCCAACACCTGTCAGCCAAGTTCCACTGAAATTCTGACTGACCTTGAGGACTACATCTCCTGTCAGAGTAGGAACTTGGATGGTTCCTCCCAAAATTGCCTGCAGAGAACCAGTTGTCACCCATTAGCATGACCAAGCATCGATAACACATGCAAAGATACAACATTTGGTAGAAGAAAAAGAATCTCATAATGGTTTCTGGTTACAGCCAGTTTCTTAAATCATGAGTCAGACAAAGACAGGAGTGTAAGTTATTGCTTTGCCAATTTTCACAAAGTTCAAAGTTCCAATTACTATAATGTCTGAAATTGCTGTTAATATAGCAAAGCAGTTGCACCTGTGTGACTCCCAAAACAGCATCAACATGGATGTCGGCACCTTCTCGTCGGAAAACAGGATCTTCACGGACCTGCAAGAAGTGCAATTGCAAAGTAATTATGCAACTCCAGGAACCAGATGGTCTAGACCAGCAGATGGCATTTCAAAAGTAGCAGAAGACAATACACAATTAAGGTGTACTGCAAGTACCTTAATGGTCACATAAAGATCTCCGGGTTGGTTTCCATCAGGATCTGCACCACCACTTCTATTCACTTTCATAGTATTATCGTCATCTACCCCTGAAATAGCGAGCTATTGTCATGAGCCAATTATCCAGCTCAGCAGTACAGCTAAGAGGTACATTAATGGGTATCACATAAATGACAGCAAAAGGATCTGTTCTCTCCACCTCCTCACAACTTAAAACTCTACATGAATTTGCAACAGAAATCATGACAAGTAAATGATGGGAGGGATATATAAAGCATCTTAAAGCAAACTTGTGAGATTCAACTCTCCATGTAATCATCATTTTCTATCCATGCCCAGTTTACAATTCTGACGACTGCAACAAACAATGATGAAGAAAATAACGAAAACACTTGTCTAGTCTTTAAGAGTTCCCACACACAACACACTGCTTTAATTCATCAGCTCTCACTGGCACCTGAAAAAAAACCTACTCACTTCTGATTCAGCTTAAAAGCCCAAGAAATGATATGTCCCTGTTACGAGAAGATTCAGAAGAGGCTAGTAGTGGGAAGAAAAGACTCTATCCAACAAATATAGGCAAAGAAGCTTCTATTTTGTACCAGACAATAAACCTGGACTGGGTGGCCAGATCAATTGGTTGAACTAACAACCAGCTGATAGTCTGGTCCAGGTATTTGGCCGAACTGGTGATGTTCAGAACATAGACCAACTAGGGATTGACCATTGATTCAGCCCCGGTATTGTGAACCAGTTCATGTCTTCAAAATAAATCAACCCGACTTTGGCGTCTTGGCCTCCTTGGCATTGGTCAGGCAGTAGTTTCTAAACCTCGAATGGATAGCCAATTCGACAGATTGAACTGAGAAACGGCTGGTAGTCTGGTCCCATTATTTAGCTAAACCAGCTATGGTCAAACCCCAAAACCTGGGTTTGACTACTGAATCAACCACTGCACAAGCGACCCCATCCACTTCTCCAAACAGGAACAACCCTACTTTAGGGCCTTGGCCTCTCGGGTATTGATTTGGTTTTCTAGTGTGCGCATTGGTTTAGGTGACCATATCTCTAGGGTTGGCTTGATATGGCTGGAATTGGGATTTCTTAAATTGTCTGACCCATTTGCACCTTGCAACAAGATAAATTGCAAAGCTGCTACTAAAGGGACTAGAACCATGGACCCTAGTGTCAGATGTGCGCCCCTCTATCACCTAGACAGATATGCTCCACGTAAAGATGAAAACATCACCACTGGTTCAACTGCCAACCCACAACCTGAACGGTTTTTGGCTGGTCTGGATTAGAACACTGACATATCTGACAAGGGAAGCATAAAAACCATGCTCCTTGCAAAATAAGTCTATCCAGTAAAAGTACCTGGCATGATATCCAATTTGACTGATTTCGATCCCATTACAACCCTTTGACCCTTGCATGTCTTGCAAAAGCTCTGATAAACAATAACATGAATATTCAAATTAAGTAGCAAAATAAGTTAATACAACACAGGTATTAAAGATATGTAGAAATTAATTCAAAGACAAAAAGAGAATATCAACGCAATTAATTTACAAATTGTACTTCCAAGTATTAGAAAGAAGTTCTAACACATCATCTTTGACCGAAAAAAGGACAATCATGTAGTGGTGGCCATACACCAAGGTAATGAAACATCTGTTTGTCAATTTATCTAATATATCCACAATTTTGTTCGTGTAAACTCCAAATGAACAAGAAAAATATATAGCATTTTCCATGGTAAGCAACAAGCCTCGTGTTGTTACTCTGACATACCTCTTTTCCGCCTTTTTCGGGGTACACACACACACACACACACACACACACAAAAGAGCCCTCGCAATTTGCAGTCTTTTCTCACTATTCTAGATCTTTCCTCCATAACAATTAAAATTATTTACTTCCAAAGAAAAGAGAGACGCCAAGCAACCAAAGATATATGTTCCTCTGGAGTTCAGAGACCACATAAAAGAAATCATCATTTACAGCTATTCTGGAGCTTTCCTCACTAATCAGTTAGGAGTATTTTACTAATCAATAAAAGACAGAGAAGTCAAACAACCAAAGATCACTCAAGAGTTCAGATTCCACATAAAAGAAGTCATTGTTTACAGCTAATTTTCAAAATTCTACCTATCTCAAACACTACTCTGCATTATAAATCAGCCTTGTTCAGGACAACATCTAACATACACGATCTCCATTCCCCAATTCACCTCTTCTATGCGACCCTATGCTTCATACATGTAGTATAACTATGACACTTCCAATCTATAATTGTTGCATCTTAAGGGTATAAAAACAAGGAAACCAAGTGATTTTGGCATACATAACATGCTTTCTAGAAAGACTATAAGGTCAAATTCTGGAAGTTGAGCTGGCAGGCATGCAGCGCAGCCACTTTGAAAGGAATAACTGAACCAAGAACAAAATTGCCAAGGAAGTAAGAGGACTAGTCTAATATGTTTCTTAATGCAAAAATTAAATAAAGAGAAGTCAGTGAATAAAATAAAAACAGCAAGCAACAATAGTTAACGCTGGCCAGTAGTCTTCCAATAGTTCCTCCACAAAACCAGTGCAGGCGAGTATACTGAAAACTTACAATCAATGCAACTAATTCAAACATACTATCAAGCAAATCCTAGGAGCTTGAAGCAGCAGTTTGGTTATTTACGAAAAGGTTTAATATGTGTACATAAATAAGGATGATTCACATACCGATACAGTTTTTCCAGATCCTCCGCACTGACTACAAGTTTGACGGATACTAAACATGCCTCTTTGAGTGTATGTCTGCAAATAAGCAAAAGAATACTTCAGCCGCATCAAATTTTTTCACCATCTAAATTGACAACCATATTGTCATCAGAAAGCACCTCCCCTGCACCTCCACAGCGTCTACAATTTTCTGGTTTTGTCCCAGGAGGTACACCAGTTCCACCTGCCAAAACACAGAAGGTAAAAGCAGGAATTAGTAATTTGTAAATAGTATTTCTATTGGGGGAAAAAAAGCCTAAGTTAGCGGATAAGGACATCAAATAAATTGAAAGAAAACATGTACCACAGCCTTGACAAGTTAAAGGGGCTTGAAATGTAATTGTTTTAGTGCATCCCTGGACAGCTTCCATGAAAGACAGCTCAATAGAAACCTACGGGCAAACATGAGATCATAATTATATGCAAAGTTATACTCTCACACACGAACACATAGGATGAGCACCAGTAACAGATAAAACTTAGCATACCTTCACATCCTGGCCACCAAATCTTTGCCTAAACATATTGAATATCTGCTCTCCATCCAGTGATCGCCAAAGATGTGCAAAAGAATTCATTAAATTTCAGGAAAAAATTACATCTTGAAAAACAAATGTTAAAATAAAGGCAAAATGTCTACACAACATAAAGAATTCTACAGTCGAGATCAGCACCAGATCTCAGAAAATAAAAAAGCTAAGCAACTGGAAGTATTTTTACCTAACCGAATATAAAGTTGTTCTACACAACGAAATTGTATAAAGTATTGGACGCCCTTAAGGCAAAAGTGAGCAATAGCCAGGTGCAAGCTACTTAAACATGCCTTATCCAAGTAAATATTCTAGGCTGAGTCCCCCAAGTACATAATCTATGCAATTCGTCCTTGTACATGCAATTAACTCGCGTTGATAATAACCTCCACTAGTTCCACTACGATGCTGTCAATTTGTTGACTGAAAAATTGAAATCAACAGTACACATCCAAGAAAAGCAGGCTAGAAGAATAGCAGCTCAGCACTCAAAGAATAAGCAAGACATCTTGTGAAATTTCAGAAGAAAAACAAGAAGTAAATGCAGCCAACTAAGAACAAGATTATTACATCTCCATTGAAAAGATCCTCGAATGGATTATTAAATCCACAAAATGCAGAATCAAAGTCTGGGTTCCCTTGCTGTTCAAAAGCTTCATGGCCAACCTGAAAATTTACAGCACTCCATCATGCATACACATTCTGTATAACAGATGCCACAAAGGAGAAAAGGAAGAGAGCATAACTAGAAGCTAAAGTTAAAGATAAGCCATACACATGCAACGATCAACTAAGCAAGGATAAGCTCATTAATTTTTCCAATTAATATTGGAATCTTATCCTTGAAACTTCAATAAACAGGATAGAATAAAAAATTCAGTGGGAGGCAACCATGAGAATAAACAACTCTCTTTCATTCCAAAAGGCATGTGTTTAGGATTCGTGCATGCTATCTAGTACATCAAGAACACAGGTAGATGATCAAACTTACAGTCACAGGAGACCTTCTGTAAGATGATAATTCTTTGTTCATGCACTGGACGTTCACAAATATATGGTGGTACAATTGTAAAATGAGATGCAACCAGCCACACTTAGAATTTGAGAAGCAAATCATTTCAGAGACAGTTTTAATCCGATCTTACTAAAACAGAACTCCATCATAGAAGGTCAAGGGAAAATGAGCAAGACACTTGATAGATACCAAACCTCCAGATCTTTCAACACATAGCATTTTTGACAAAGCAGGAAGTAAAGCAACTCTTGTCTTCAGAAGGCACATGAGCATGCATGAAAATGAACTAAAGGAGGCCAAATTCTATCACTATAGGATGTCAGTCACATCTATGGTAGTGAATGAACATGATGCTTAGAACAATTTCTATCATTCTTTATAAGCATAAAAAACCCATTAAGATATTTTTCAGACATGACTATCACACTATTCCAATTATCAGAAAGGGATGATGATGGAAGCAGCTTTCATTACTCAAACTCCACAAGCATGCTATATTTCGGCTACTATTTTGTAACAACAGAAGAAAGAAGCAGTTTTCATTGCTCAAACTCCACAAGCATGCTATATTTTGGCTACTATTTTGTAACAACAGAAGAAAGAGTAACCAAATGCAAAGACGTGATAATGGGAGAGATGATGACTAATTGCCACAAGTCAATACTTGGGTTCAATCTCTTTAACACAAGACGAGCGAACAAGATATTATTGTGCAAACTTAAAAGCAGTCCGATATCCAGCACCTGGTCATAGACCCGTCGCTTCTCTTCATCTTTTAAAACCTGCAAACAAAATATATTTAATCATTCCTTTCACAAGAATGAATATACTCCATTGTCAGCCAGTCAATAAATTTTAAAGACTTACCTCATAAGCTTTTGAAACTTCTTGAAATTTCTTTTCAGCCTCAGGGTCACTTTTATTAGTATCTGGATGGAGCTTTTTTGCTAGCTGTTGAACAGTAAACAAATTACAATTACTTATTTGAGAAGTGGAGAAAAAGGGAGACAATATCAAAAGAAGAATCCATGAAAAAAATCTACATCTGAACAAAGAGACCAAAACCATATGCCCAGAAAGATCAAAGAGGTGAAGAAATTGATATGAGAAGGTAGACAGCAAATCAATGACACGAACATACCCCATAGTATGCTTTCTTGATTTCAGAAGGACCTGCATCCTTGTTTACACCAAGTATTTCATAATAATCCGGGGCATACCTAGTTGCTGGTTCAACAGAAAAAGGAAAAAAAAACGACATTAACACAAGATAGAGAACAGAGACAGAACAGAGCACAAAGGATGGAGACAAACTGCAAAGTAAAGAAGCTCAAGGAGGATATAATGATGACAATTAATATCAATTTTCCAAAAAGAAACTATTGGCAAATGAAAGTCGAGTCCCATCTGTAATGAAGCGATTCAGAGTAAAACAGGAATATGTTGGCTAAACATATGGTTCAACGAGATAAACATAATGACTCTTGTTAATAGAAAACTTTAGTTTCGTACTTTCAAAACAATTCACGGGAAAGATAGCAAGGGAAGGAGGGAAAGACTCGGAAAGGAAGATCAGCTACCGGTGCCGTGAATTGATCTTGCAGAACCCCAATTGGAATTGGAAACGCCCAGGAGAAAACAAGTCCTCAAATTACCTGCATCGCCAAAAAAACGCCAAAGGGATGAGGACGGAAACAGAGGAGCGACTAATATAGGGACGAGCGAAAGTGCGGGAAGCGAAAGGTACCATTTTGAGAGGGAGACGAGCAACAGCTAGAAATCCTATTGGCGATCCCCCAAGATCCAGAACCGAATCTCCTAGGATCACCTCGGAGCACCGAATTGAAAATCTGCAAGCGGCGAGAGGACAAGCAAGAGCATTATGAACGCTGAATTCGCACGGCGAGGATAGGCGGAACGAGGGGAGTGCGGGGCGAGTTGGGGGAGAGAGAGAGAGAGAGAGAGCGTACAGAGGGGGGAGGGGAGGCGTTGAAGAGGCTGGAGGAGAGGGAACGGCGAGCGAGCAAATGGAGGAGCTTGGCGCCATGGGAGCGAACCATTTGGGAAGCGTGCAGGTGTTCCCCCGAGGAAGCTGGAAGGGAACCCTCCTCGTGGTGGCGGTGGTGGTGGTTGTCCAACAGGACCTACATGACAACGGTGGGAGGGAGGGGAAGTGGTCGATGCCAAAACCCCTACAAAAACCCTAATTAACAACGGGGGTTTGGAATCTTCTAGTCCCTCCCGTCCCAAGCGCACGCGCACAGACAGAGAGAGAGAGACACAGAGAGAGATGACGAATGGGTTTTATATGGACAGAGAGAGAGAGAGGACTGGGACTGGGAGGCGCTTCTCTGGGTCGTTAGTTGTGGTTCGCGGCGAGGGTATTTTCAAGAGGCCCTTTTTGTTTAGGGTGCGAATAGTAGCAATTCTGTTTGAAATCAGTGCTGCCAGAAATTGATTTAGGTCTCTTAGAAATTGATTTACGGAGGAGAAATATGTTTGGTAAAACATGACTAATTCCTTTCCAGGAAATTGATTTCTGAAAAAATTTGTTTTGATTTGTTGATTTTTTTTGCACCTAAAAAAATTTAAATTTTACTCAAAGTGGGTGGCCACATGTATTATAAGCCATTCTGTAAAGTTTTGAATTTTTTTATTTTTTTATTATTTTTTTTGGCACCTAAAAAAATTTAAATTTCACTCAAAGTGGATGGCCACAGGTATTCTAAGCCATTTTGTGAAGTTTTGAATTTTTTTATTTTTTTGGGTACCTCAAAAAATTTAAATTTTACTCAAAGTGGGTGGCTACAGATATTCTAAGCCATTCTGTGAAGTTTTGAAATTTTTTATTTATTTTTTAATTTTTTGGACACCTCAAAAAAATTAAATTTCACTCAAAGTGGGTAGCCACAGGTATTTTAAGCCATTTTGTGAAGTTTTGAAAATTTTTATTTTTTTATTAATTTTCTTTTTTTTTGCATCTCAAAAAATTAAAATTTCACTCAAAGTAGGTGCCCACAAGTATTTTAAGCCATTTTGTAAAGTTTTGAAATTTTTGATTTTTTTTGGGCACCTCAAAAAATTTAAATTTCACTCAAAGTGGGTGGCCACATGTATTTTAAGTTATTCTGTGAAGTTTTGAAATTTTTAATTTTTTTTTATTTTTAAAAAAAAAATTCACCAAATTTCATATTTTTCCGAAATCTGACTTTTTTTTATTTTCTGGAAATTTTTATGAATTTTTCTAGAATTTTTCAATTTTTATGCATTTTCTGAAAAAAAAAATTTGTGAGAAAATAGGGAGAATGCATTCCGGAATCAAGAAGCTACAAAAACTAGCTTCTTTTTTTTGGCCCAAAACACATTCTGGAAGCAAAAACTCATTCTGGAATCAAAAAAAGAATGTATTTTTACCAAACGCGTTTTTGCTCCAGAATGCAAAAATTCTTTCGGAATGCATTCCGGAAATTTTTTAACAAACGCATTTCTGTTCCGGAATGCATTCTGGAGCAGAAATTTTGCTCCATAATGGATTCCATGCGCGCCCATCTCTCCCAGGAATAACCGCACTTTCTTCCTTAATTTCCGTGTTTCTTCTAATCGAGTCCTTTCACGGTGTTAATTTATCCAATTAAAATGTCCTTCCTTTCCATTGCACACGGACATATTTCGATTATTATTATTATTACGCTGAAGAACTGTTCTTTTAAATGTCCATCAAGCTGAAAAGGGGAGTCCATTTTGAATGAAATTTCTTCACAGGTTGTTCCCCAATTTTCTAGCACTTTACCTGCGACATCTTTCAATCCACACAATTTGTGCGTTCTCGCTTTTATTCTATCGAGGACAAGATTCAAGAAACACTTCAAGTTAATTCTTTCGAATTTGCAAATAAATTAAGAAAGGGGAAAAATACTAAACCTCACGAACCCTTTCTTTCTTTTTTTCAATTTTAAAGACAAAAGTAGATTGCTGAATGATCCTAACCGGCCTTAAAATTGAACCGGAACAGAGTGTGGTGAGCAGCTCTTACTTTCCTTCGGTTGTCAAAACAATGATAATCGACACGTGGAAATCTTTCCAACAGTCGACCACCATGTGTCTGGTGCGGTCGTCAAAACAATGCCCCCAGACACCCAAATAGTGAAGTGCAATGTACCGTGAGATAAAATTAGCCATCTTATTGGAATATTGGCAGCCCATCTCCAAAATGCAAACCAATGTACATGTACACCATTCCTTAATGAAGGAATGGATTCAAGCACCTGGCGATTTCTACATATCGAAAGAAGCAAAGTGCAACACATTTGATGATGGATTGCATTGCAGTAAACAAAAGAAGCTCTCCTCCTTTGTTTAGTCGTCCTACGTAACAACCACCAAGGATAGGCACTCTGCTATCTCAGCAACCAACAAATCCTTGATTACCCCCATCCAATCAAGTGACTTCACATATTCACAGTCCTCAAATTCTAAAACGAGCATACAACTCCAGAGAGACTGGACACCACACTCAAAAGTGTCCCCAAATCCAGAAATGGAGTGCCGGGTTTTCACCAAATTTCTGCACTTAGACATGAAAATGAGCACAGCATAGCCCATCGAATTTTTTGCACTTGGGGGGAAAAAGAATCGATTTTGGCATATGGAATTACTTCAAATCGCGAACTCAGGACTCAAATGGAGGAAAAGACAGAAAACAAGAATCCATCCAACCAAATTTAACTACATAACAAACATTGAGATGCCTACTATAATCGATAATCTTAAAAGCAGTCATCTTCTGAGCCAACTCAAAATTTGGAGAGAGAAATATAGAAAGTCCGGAAACCAGAAGCAGTTCACACTGTCTAGAAGACCAGCTCGTGCGGCTTCATGCCCGCCTTCAAGGAGAACCTGGCAGCTAAATACGTCTTCAAATCCGGCACGCTCTCGATTGATTTTATCAATGCCGCGTCCACTGATTTCTGATCATCTTTCTTCTCTTGCGGAAGTACATTCTTCTCCTAAATGTCAGAATCAGAACAGGTAAGTATTCGGGTGCAGAAGAACCATCTAAATACAAGTGAAGAAGACATCCAGAGTTGAGAAAAGTGACCTCTTTCTCTGCCTCAAAGAACTCGCCTTCCCCTTTGTTTTTCTTTTTCTCAACTTTCTTAGCAAAGTATTTGTCATCAAATTTCTCAGTATTAACTCCGGACACATCGACCTTTGTGGAGGTTGCGATGACATAAGACTGATTCACCCGTCTTAGGGGCACACCATTGATCTTGAATGGCCCTGCGATATAAAGTCAAAATTCAGGAAGAATACAAGCAAGGTGATAGAGCAAATAAGCCCACGTCTAATAGCTGGACACCTAATGCATCAATGACAAGAGCAGCAAAGACAAGAAAAAATGGACCGCAAGTTAGGACAAGGCTAAAACACGAAAGCAGGGTAGGATATAGTGCTAACCAGTAACCAAGAGCAATCCGGAGGAGTGCTGCTTCAGAAACACAACTCTCTTTCCCTTGAATCTCCCGGCAAGTATAATTAGCACAGTTCCGGGGGTGATGCTTGCCCTACGAATAGAACCAAGGGAAATGCTTAAACAGCAGGCAAAAGCACCAGAATAGAGCTTCAGTCATCGCTCAATCAGAACCAAACAGAGCCCAATGGAACAATAACTGAACACCGATGCCAATGTCGTCAAAGAGTACAACCCGGAAAAAGGAAACGCGATTGAACTTCACCTACTATGTGAGCAGCAGCTAGCTGTAAGCAAGGTGTCTATATATGACCATTCGAAAGGGTCGTGGTAAAGCCAATTTCACTCGCAAAAATCTATCTACAAGCATCCCTCTTCTTAGCCAGACATACTCGCAAGACATCATCATCTAAGCGAGATCGTACGCAACAAACAAAATCCACTAGTGTACTCAATAAGATGAAGGAAAACGAGCACAGAGTCAAAGTCATGTGCGGACCTGAGCTTGGTGGGTCTGGGGTTGCGCTTGTTGAGGAGAGGCTTCTTGACGTCGTCGGCAGGGTAGAACTTGGGGAGTTTGGAGGCGGCAGGGGACGGTGGTTTGGCGACGGGATCGTGGCGGGGGAAGGCGCCGCCGTTCTTGGCCTTGATGGCCCACAGGCCCCTCTTGTGGTACATCTTCGATCTCGAGAACTTGCCAATCCCCCGGATCAGCTCCGGATTCCTGCTCTGCTTCTGCTGCTTCGGCGCCATTTCTGATCTCTCTCTCTCTCCCCCACACTCTCTCGCTCGCTGAGGCTGCAACGACGATGCGAGAGGCAGGGTTCGCTTCGCTTCGCTTAAGTATGGCCAGGCAAAACTCAAAAACCCTAGCTCCGCACTGTGGCTCTACCAAACTTCTCCACCGTTGGATTGTGTCCATTTTAATCTCAGCCATTCGTTTTCCTCCCCCTTAGCTTCGCCTCTTTAAACCACTAGCCCCCAAAGAAATCTGGACCCTTAAAAACCTTCAAACTTCGATCTATGCCGCTGGTTTCAAATCCTAGGATGTCAAAATTTCCAAAACCAAAAGAAAAAATACATCTCAGCCAAAAACAATTAACTTTTTGTCCATTCGAAGCAATTCTTTTAGAATTTCCATATTTTATCTCAATATAAAATGCGATATAAATACGCTAAAGTCACAAATCTGGACCGTGCACACCTGATCAATTTTATATGGAAAATCACAAAGTTATCCAATTACGATGGGCTTTGAAGCATGGACTTTTAGGTCCCGCGTGAAATCTTGGCCCGCCTAGACTCGGTGGATTTAAGCATAGAAATGGAATGATTATTTTAATTACATCATGGTGGGCCTACGGAATGGATCTTAAAGTGCGGCCTGCTCTGCCCATCGATGAAATCCAAACGGAGAGACTTTAGGCTGAACAATTATAGATAAAAAATGTTGGAAGGACTAAAAGACTTGGAATATCATTATTGAATGGGGGCAAGATGGAGAATAAGTAAAAAAAAAATTCATTAACTTAATTTTCACCATGCGGAGGAAGCCAGAATACTAATGCTAGATTGAAGGCCGCAAATAGGCTTTCAAAACCATTTACCGAACACGTGAATTGTAAGACGAAGATCTTTCTCCGGGGCCAGCAAATGCGTGTGTAAATCCACACATCAATTCGGGAAAGATTTCGTTCATGCTCAATAATAACAGAGAAATACAGAGCAGATTTGGTGCAAATCATTCAGCTACTTTAGACAGATTTGTGGTTTAAACCCATCAAGGAGAATCATATACTAGAGACAACTTAATATTAACTCAATGATGCAACATCAAGCACCAATTATTAAGCAAAACTGATTTTGATAAGTGAGAACCCTATTCAGTATATGTAAAAGCACGACAGCTCATGTCCCAGCAATGAGGCCATCTATTTTGCGCTCGATGTGGGCCTCGTGGTCTTCAAGTCGACCTTTAACCACATCATCCTCCCACAGCATCAGCGTCGGAACTCCGGTAAGCTTGAATCTGGGGTCTACCCTCCATGGGTGTTGGGGATTCCTCCAAGTAGGTCGGTCTCCAACATAAGCTCGCAGAAGCGCTACATTATCCGATGATGCTTCCAGTTTTTTGTAGATCACAGGTTCAGCTCTCACACAATCTGAAGACACAAAAGGAGTCAGAATGACAAGATGCCAAAAATACCACAAAAGATGTGGACCGTCTAACTTTGTTAGTCCAGTCCATTCAAAATAGTATCCCTATCCCAGTTGTTTACATTTTGGTAGGTTATATCCCTACATGTTCAACGCCAATGCTTGGCTCGTTCAATGCCAGGGACAGGCATCCTATAGAGCTAATGTTGGCTTACTGTATATCCCTAGGAAGTTTTGACATCCTAGTCTACACATTGGATTCACTAAGGAGACCGACTATGAACCACGGAAAAGATGTCGCAGTATGAGTTTGCTTCATCCATCAGACTCATCAAAGCATAATCTTACAACACAAAAGGAGTCCACCAAAAAACTGGGGATGGGGCATCTAAACTGCTACTTTGCATTTCAGAAGTAGCGGTTAGTTTCTTGGAACATCTGATTGTGGTCGAAGATGGTTTTAAGACTACTGGATAATATCATAGAAATTCACAAAGAAGCAGTCCTCCTTCATGACAAACTGTCACCCTCTCTTTAAACGTGCCAAAATGGCAGTGGACTTATCCTGAACTTTCTGCTATGCTCGACATTAGAACTGGGACCTTTTGATGAATTCCTCAATAACAAAATAACAAAAGCAGCTACAAAGCTGCCCCTGGCCAGCAGGGTCAGTGACACAGCAGGTGGACAACTGAAAATTAGGGATGAGGTTTGATCCTGGATCAGCCACTAATTAAACGAGCAAGAGCAATGGGACAGTAGGAAAGCAGGGTTGAATTATCGTGTAATTGAGCTGACACAAATGCAGCCGCAGATGCGGGCATAGGAAGGCTATTCCCATGACCAGCGTTGCAAGAGTCCTTTTTTCATCTTTTCAAAAGGGCAACGCAATAACCCAATGATAACCAGCAACGCGAAAGCTTTTCGAGCTTTTGAAATCTAAGTCTCAGCAATGAACTTTAAACACACAAACCCAAGGTAAGGTGCTAGCGGTACCAGAATCCATATGAACAATAAAACCCAAGGAACACGGACACTATCCGATCGATCACGCCTCTTGCCACTACATCAGCAATTGCGGGAATGGGGAAATTGGGGGCCCGAAAATGGCCTCTCGCTCAAAAAAAAAAGAAAAAGAAGCTCCTTTTAAGAAGAGGATCTCCGATGGGTCTCGCCTCTTCAAACTAAATCAGGATCGCATGTGTAAATTCTAATTAACGAGGCAGAGGCAGAGGCAGAGGCAGAGAGACATAGGAGGTGGATCAGAAGGAATCAGAGATGAGACAGTGATAAGCGCGAGAGAGAGGGAGGGAGAGGCAACCAGGGCACCAGCTGAGAGAAGTGGAAGGGTCCTTGTCAGCCAAGAAGAGGATGAGGTTGGTGTTGTGGGTGGGGGCTTCCGATCTGAACTTCTCCAACACCGCGTCGAAGCTCGACACCGTCGCATCCAACACCTTCAGCGGCATCTTCTCCTTCTTCTTCTTCCTCCTTCAGAGAGCGAGCGAGAGACGACGAGAGGTTTTCGCGGTTCAGTTTCGGGATTAAAGGAACCATTTTTGGGACGTGTTTTCCTAAAATACGTGTGCTCTGCTCATGGGCCTTTCCGTCGTGGGTCTGTAGAGTTACGGCCCAACAAACGCACGTGAATCCCATCACATTGTGTTTAAAAACAAGAAAATGGTGGGAATAAAAAATGATTGGCAAAAAGGCAAACGGTTTGAATGAGTGCGCGGTATTCTTATAGCCGTGCTCTGCAAGCTTCGGTCAGGGATCATGATACTCTGCTTCGTCTCTCCATTATAAATAAGCACCCCCTTTCTTGGTGCGAATTGATAAAAAGAAAGTGCAATACCCAACCTTCCTCGCTTTCCCCATCAAAACAGAGGTCGTGCCTTCCCAAAATGCCTTCATTTCGAGCTATTTTTAGCTGCTTCAAGCTCATGCCGTACTTACCCATCAGAATGCTACTTGGGTTGCCCGCGACTATTCTGTTCTATCTACAGTATTCAAAGTGAAGTCGGTACTATAGTTGACTATCGGATTTGCAGTGCGTAAGAAATCGAAGAAGAATTAATATATTAGCACAACGCTAGTTGTGTTGCTTGCAGACTACTCTGTTCCATCTACTTTATTCAAAGTGAAGTGGGTATTTTAGTTGACCAATGGATTTGCAGTCCGAAAGAAAATCGTAGAAGAATTAATATATTAGCACAATATCATCTATATAAAAATCAGATGCGTGGTCAAGAGTACAAAATCGCCCACAACCAGGCCTTACTTGAGTGCGTACTATGTAAGCTTGATGGAGGAAGTTGCATACCAACTACTAAACACGTTTTTAACATACAAAAGAAATAGATGCATGTACCCATTGAATCCGGTGATGATGTTCCAAAGCTAAACAAACAGACGAGTGAATTGGTATCGACAAAATCATTATACAAGAGATTATCCCAAACCCACAAAAAAGTAGCGGTCACTCCCATTCAACATTATCCCTTTATCTATTTGGACTCCTAATTAATATTGAAGATTAACAGATTCCTGCAAGGTTACCAATTAGAAGTTTTACAGAAGGAAAAAGAAACGAGACCGAAGCAATAAAATGTTATAAAAAAAGGTCAGATGTAGTTGAGTTAACATGCTGAAAGTGGAGGCTAGGAGAAGCAAGAAACACAAACCCTACTTGGTATTTTCGGCCATGAATTGTCAAGCAAGAACTTCGGACTTGGTCAGTTAAATTACATGATGCGTTAGAATAAATGAATTGTCTAAGACAAATCAGTCAAAATCAAGACTTCTTGCGGCCCAAGGCAAAGCACTAGCTTCCTGCAAAGGCGGAGAAACGTGTTCGAGTCTTTTCCAGGGACTTCTTCAATTTTACAGACAACAACTTACACCTGAAGCGTTCAACTCTGGATTTTTTATTTCCTAACGAAATGCCTTTTAGCTACCGCATTATTTTAGGCATTTGGACGTTTAACAAGATGTAATGCATTCGGGCAACTTATAAATGGTCTTTATTGAATAAATATGAAGCTGCTCCAGTAGAAAGCCTTTACATGTTTGTTTCTTATGGCACTAGCCAGTAAGCACCGGTCCTCACAGCCATTTGGGACCCAAGGCCTCCTGGAAGAATTCTCACGACTCGCCCCATGGACTCAGCTCCAGTCCATTACACTCAGTCTCAATGACAGGCTAGACCAATATATGACCATTCCACAGAATATCGAGCATTGGACAAGGCACTGCACAGTGCTTATCTCGTGCTGCTTCCATACTCTCTGTCAATTATGCCATCTCTCTTATTCCTCCCGCATAATTTACTAACCGCAGGTTCTGTGTTCCCAACAAGCACTATTCCAACAATCACAAATAGCAGCATCCTGTGGACTGAATGGTGTCTACCTGAAACCGCGATACTAAAGCAGTAACTCTAGTAAATCTGTCAAGCGTGGTACAGCAAAATCTTAATTATAATCGTATTCTATACAAAGTATTACATATATACATTTACATTTAGAGATGCGGTATAATGCTAATCGGAATACTACAAAGAATGATCTAAAAACAACAATACCTATTCTCAAGTAAAGAATGAAAAAATAAGGCAGTCTAGAGATCTTTTCTCATGTCTCATGGATAAGCAGATTCGTTCATCTATGCATAGTTTCT